AATTTAGGCATAACTGAACTCGCCAAAGGCTTTCTTCTGTGAAGATACTTATATCCGTCCTTTAACAATGGAAACGGTAGAGATTTCCCCACACATTCTACATCTTAGCTTCTTATTGAAGCCATTATGGTAAATAGGCCAACTGCTAACCACTGGGTTTGATCATCCTTCAAACTAATATCAGAAAATGTTAAATCATATTTCTTGAATTGTATTTCGTATACCAGTAATATTTCCTCCCTCAGTACTTCAAAGTCCAAATGCAGCTTTTTTTGTTCAGCTAGGCTGAATGGAATTACCAGAATTCCACCAAAAGCTACATTTTTGTCTCTTCCTAACTAAATATGAAATGTAAATTTCTGCTCTATTGAAATATCAAAATGTTAAAAACCGAAGTCTATATAGGAGGAGAGGGGGAGCAACCACATACATTCTTGTTGACTTCTACTGTCAGGCATCCCTGAACCACTGAAGGGGGGAAGAGAAAATAAGATCTTTTTCAAAAGAGCCTACCATAGAGGCAGGCTGGGGTGGGAGGTGGGTGGCAGGAGTGATACGGGGGATATGGTGGTGGAAAATGTACACTTGTGGAGGGATGGGCATTGGAACATGGTATGACTGAAATTCAATCAGGAAATCTTAGTAACTATCTCACGGTGACAGTGATTCAATATTTTAAAAGTCCAAATAGAGAAATATGCACTCTTAAAAATTAAAGTTTGAAACAATTGTTTATTCTACTGTGAAGCAAAAGTTTTTGTGAAAATGTATGTTAAAAAAGCTTACTTTCTTAAAAAAAAAAAACCCATGTTGTGGCTGGAGCGACAGCACAACGGGTAGGGAGATTGCCTTGCACGTGGCTGACCCGGGTTCGATTTCCAGCATCCCATATAATCCCCTGAGCATCACCAGGAGTAATTCCTGAGTGCAGAGCCAGGAGTAACCCCTGTGCACCGCCAGGGGTGGCCCAAAAAGCAAAAAAAAAAAAAAAAACTATGTTGACTTAAGCCATCAAGTGGAGAGGACATTGGCAATAAAGTCCAGGGTACTATAAAAATCAGTAATAGTTTGAGAAATAAAAACCCATCAAGTCAAGAAGTATTTGTGTTTTTAACATATTTTATTGATTGAAATTCTGTGATTTACATCACTGTTAATGATGCACATAATTCTAGCACGTCGATTTGCTCGAGCGGGCCCAGTAACGTCTCCATTGGAGACTTTGTTGTTACTGTGTCTGGCATATCGAATACTCTCGGTAGCTTGCCGGGCTCTCCGAGAGGGGCGGAGGAATCGAACTCGGGTCGGCCATGTTGGCCGCTTGTAAGGCGAACGCCCTACCCGCTGTGCTATTGCTCCAGCCCCAATTTACTCACCTCTTTCTCCAAAAGGTGTTTGGAGGAGCAAAATTTCTTTAAAATGTTTTGGATAGATCTTCTGACTAGATGTTATCCTGCTGCCAGCTCAGGAAAAAGAATAGACTCTACCTAGGAGAGACCCCTTGATCACTTTATATCCCGTTACTCATCGATTTGCTTGAGTGGGTGCCAGGAGAGACTACTGGAACCAAATATCCTTTACCATGACAATTACCTAGCAATAAACCGTAGCACAAGCTGAGGCAGCTAGGAGAGTAATCCTATGTAATCAGCTTCCCCAAACAGCTCAAGGCACTTCGTTCTGGATTCATCCACTATCCATCTAAGGATGTTTTTATTAAATTGCTCTTTCTCTTATATGGAGAATCCTGCATTCACCTGAGAATTAGTAACCTTCCTTAATAACGTTATTTTACTTCACATTGTGTCTTCTCTTGAATGTCGGAACTGATTTTTATTACTGTGGTGAGTACAACTTCATCTCAGCCTGAGAACAGCAGCTCCCCCAATATCTGTGTGGAAGAGACAAGCTCCCCTATTATGAAGATGACTTATGTCTTGGCTGTGGCTTAATAGTTACTTTAGTGAAGCTAGCTGAACACTTGTATCCATGTGTGCCACACTCCTGCAACTCTGATGTTTGAACAGTGAGATGGCTTTTCCTGTTGTGGCTACCTCTTGCTCTTCTGTGACTTTGATTTGCACTACACCTACAGCAATATGAAAAGAAATGCTAATGGTGGGAACAGGAGTTGGCTCAGTGGGCTGGAAGATCTGAACACCAATGGGTGCACCAAGATGAGAGTATCCCCTGAACATCACTATATGTGGCCTCAAAACCGAAAGCAAAATATATGCTAATGACTTAAACTAAATATGAATGCGTTTTTATCTTTCACTATAGGTCAACTGCAATTGCACCTCACATTTGATGTGGAGACATATGCATGTTTTATAGCAATATCTAAAGTAGTATAAAAATATATTTACATATTTACTAGATTTATGGAAAGACAAAAACTATAGTAATAATTGCCTCTTCACCTGACAAAACTTTTTTAATAAAAATTCAAATATGTTTCCCTGTAGGATAATAATTTGTTTCCCCCTTTCCCTATTCAGTTAATTTTACACATATATAGCTGTGATCATTCTTGCAATTCTTTAATATTGTAAATCAAGTATGTCAATATTTTAAAATTATTTTAAAAGGTATTGCATGTAGAGAGATAGTTCAGCAGATAAAACACTTGCCTTGCACACGGCTGACCGGGATTTGATTTTCAGCACCAAAATATGCCCCACCCCCAATCCCCATGAGTAGTTATTCCTGAGTGCAGAGCCAGGAGTAAGGCCTGAGTACCAGGTATGACCCTAAAATCCAAAAAATAAAGAGAGACATAGGTGTTCAGTAAAAATTTGCAAATAAGTAATTTTATATACATATTTTAATGTTTATATTAAGATTGTGACGTTGGTATTAAAATGTTATTCTAATGGCATTGGCAAAATTGTGGCATAGGGAAGGAAATGGTTTTTTCAGTACACTGAAACAAAGAATAAGCTAACTGGCAATAAATTCCAGAATAAACATTTTAAATGCTGGAATCCAATAAAAATTAATGTCCAGGCCTGAGTAGATGACTCAAAGAGTTGGAAACATACTAGGAAATTATGATGAAGACAAAGCCAGAAAGATAGTGCAATGGGTAGGAGGCTTACCTTGCAATGGCCAGCCTGGGTTCCATTCCTGGCACCCCATATGCTCCCCTGAGCCCACCACAAGTTATTCTTGAATGCAGAGATAGGAAAAAATGCTGAAAACAACTGGGTGCAACCCAAAACACAAAATAGAATAAATTTTTAAAAAGGAAATGATGCTTTTATAATCTTTTATAAGCTATATAAAGTAGTCAGGCTTGTAAAATCAGATGCAGAATTATTGTTTCCAGGAAATTCATATGGGGAATGGGATTATTGAAATGTTTAATATTAATATACCTATTTTTGGTTATTTTATTTTCATAATATCCCTATTAAGGGATTCGCTTTGACATTTTTTTAAAAAAATTTTTATTAGTGAAACACCATGTGGTACAGTTGTAGACTTACCAATTTTTGTGCTTGGGTTCCAGTTATACAATGATCCAGTACCCATCCCTCTACCAGTGCCCATTCTCCACCACCACTGATCCCAGTATCCCTCCCACCCACCCCCCCCATTTACCCAGCCCACCCCGCTCTCTGGCAGGGCATTCCCTTTTTTTCTCGCTCTCCTTTTGGGTGCTGTCGTTTGTAAAATAGACATTGAGTGGCAATCATGTTCGGTTCATAGTCTACTTTCACCATGCATCTCCCATCCTGGGAGGATCCTCCCAACACACTTTATTTGGTGCTCCCTTCACTATTTGAGCTGCCATTTCCCCTAGCATGTGCCTCCAAGCCATGGAGTAAACCTCCTGGTACTTATCTCGGCTATCCTTAAGTGTCAGTCTCCTATTTTGTTACTTTATGTTCCCCAGATGAGTGCAATCTTTCTGCCTGTCCCTCTCTTTCTGACTCATTTCTTTGGCATTTTTAAAGTTCTAGAAAACGGCATCATGACAGTGTGAATATACATCATTATTTTTAATTATAATTATTGCTAAGATAGGCTGGAGACATAGTAATGGGTTTAAAGTGATTGTCTTCCAGTCAACCTGAATTTGATCCCCAGAACCACGTGTAGTTCCCTGAGCAGAGTCAGGAGTAAGCTTTTGAGAACTTCCACTTGAATGCTGGAATCCAATAAAAATTAATTTCCAGGCCTGAGTAGTGTAGGCCCCAGAAACAAACAAACATATAAAGAAAAGTTTATTGTGATGATAATTTAATGTTGTATTTGACTTCCTAGTGCTGGATAACAAAATTTAATGTCTCTTGTGTGTGAAAGATGTGTTCTAGCACTGAGTTATATCTCTGACTCTCTTTGGTGTTTAGAAGCATATTTAAAAATATTCAAGAACCAGGGCAATATTTAAAGATAAAAAGTCGATAAATTATAATAAATGATTTTTTAGACATTTTTACTTATCTTACTGTAACATGCCACTCCCCAATTCATTGGTGGCTCTGGATTAAATAATTCACATGTCTGGTATGGCTTGCTCATGTAAGAGCAATACATTCCTTGTTTTCAAAGAACACTGACTGCCAGTTTGAACTTATCTAACAAAAACTTATTTGAACTTATTTTTAAAAAGTTATCTGACAAATACGTTAAGGTGTAGCCTTTTGCTCTACCTCCTTCAAAAACTTCTCAAGGTTGAAGAAACTTCCCTGGTATTTTTATCAAAAGTAATTCATAGCACATATAAGGCATCAACTACAGCCAGAGAAGAAGAAAACACCCAAAGTCTGCAAGGTAAATCTGACATACAAGCTACTTTTTTTTCCTTTTTGGGTCATACCCAACGATGCCCAGGGGTTGCTCCTGGCTCTGCACTCAGGAATTACTCCTGACAGTGCTTGGGGGACCGTATGGGATGCCGGGGATTGAGCACGGGTTGGCCGCGTGCAAGGCAAACAGCCTACACATTGTACTATCACTTCGGCCCACAAGCTACTTTTTTTTAAACCAAAATCACTCAGACTGCACTCTCTCCCTCTCCCTCTCCCTCTTCCAAAGGAAAAGAAGAACGATCATCAATGGTAAAAGGCAGTTTCAAAAGCATCATCTAGAACAGGTTTCGCGCTCAGGAGAGGATGCTCTGTTTCCTTTTGATGGTTTAAGGTGATGTCTAGTAACAAACTTTACTTAGTAACAAACTATAGAAATGACCCCAGTCAGTAGAGTCTTCAAGAGCTACTTTGAGTAATAAAATATTGGAAATGATCTAACTTAAACTGTTGGCTCTAGAATGACATGTACATGACCAGAACTAAAAGCGTAGCCATAAAAGATGCAATAAGACCTTGGGGTTCAGAACTCTGTTTTATTTTAAGGCTGACCATAAGTAAGAAGTGAAACCTAAACCAGGGTGATTAATGTCCAGAGTAAATGTTGAAATAGTGTCTCAATCAATGTCCAAAATATAGGTGAGGTTCTTTTTGTTTTTGCTGCTTGTTTTGTTTATTTTTTAATACTTTAGAAATGCTTGCCCCCTTTCACTGGCCTTGGGATTTTCAGTAAATATACACCAAGTCACTGGCTAGCCAGTAAGCTAATACTGACAATGAATATACAAAATCATAAATATAGAAAAAATAGGCACTTGCTAAGTAAATATAGTATACAACAGGAGAACAACTTACAAAGAGTAATATAAGAAAGTTGAAGTGGTTAAATTAAGTAAAGTAAGTAAAGGCCCACCCGTTGTTCATCGATTTGCTCGAGCGGGCCCAGTAACATCTCCATTGGAGACTTTGTTGTTACTGTGTTTGGCATATCGAATACGTCACGGGGAGCTTGCTGGGCTCTGCCGTGCGGGCGAGATACTCTCGGTAGCTTGCCGGGCTCTCCGAGAGGGGCGGAGGAATCGAACTCGGGTCGGCCATGTTGGTTGCGTGCAAGGCAAACGCCCTACCGTATAAACTTCAAGGAAAGATTATAGATTGGTAAAAACATGCCAAGTAATCATAAGCATATTTAACTAAAACATATAAATCAAAAGGTTAATTTAGGTGGGGGGGTTTGTGCCACATCTGGCAGTGCTAAGCGTTTATACCTGGCTCCATGATCAGCGATTACTTATTCAAAAATTTGACATGAAAGAAGCTGAAGAGATTTTTTTTATTAAAAAAATTTTAATAGTGAGACATCATGAGGTACAGTTGCAGATTTACACATTTTTGTGCTTGGGTTTCTTTCAATTATACAATGATCAAATACCCATCCCTCCACCGGTGCCCATTTCCCACCACCATGGATCCCAGTATCCCTCCCACTCCCCATACTCCCCATTCCACCCTGCCTCTGTGGCAGGGCATTCCCTTTTGTTCTCTTGAAGAGATTTTTTTAATTAAAGTAAATCAGAAGAAAAGCATTGTACATTTTCAACTCATGTAGTAGTCAATATAAGTATATAAAATCTCTGATCAAAATAGTCAAGCCAGTAGATTTTGATAATATATATCAGGTTACTTGAGGACAAGAGGGTAGGGGGAGGAAGGTAATATCAAGGTAATATCAAGGGTGTAAAAAATTAAAAATACATAGTGGGACTGGAGAAAGCCTTGCTTGCATGCAGCTATCATGGGTTTTATCCCTGTACCTCATATTATGCTCTCACCTCTGTCAGGATGATCCCGGAGTTCAGAGCTGAGAGTAAGCTCTGAGAACTGTTGGGAGTGACCCAAGTCCCGTTCCAAATAAAAATGCATATTTAAGTTATATGAAGTGGACAATAACTCTACATCAGTATTCAAAATCCTCCTAACAAAGTATGGGTGACACAGTATAGAGAGCGTGGGCACCAATGACTCACAGAAGCTTTCTGAGGGTGGGTGGTCCTGAGCAGAAGGCCCTCAGCATGAATGTTCTGTGAGAAAGTTTTGCCACTAAGAGAAAATGATGACTGGGGGATTTGAACACACACAGTGACCTACCTGAACTAGGCCAATGCTTCTCCCACAGTTCATACCAGTGATCAGCAGCTGCCAATTATATTTCCCCTTTACACCCTGGACTGGCGTGATAGCACAACAGGTAGGGCATTTGCCTTGCACGCAGCTGACCCGGGTTTGATTCCTTCGCCCCTCTCGTAGAACCTGGCAAGCTACCGAAAGTATCCCACCTGCACTGCAGAGCCTGGCAAGCTCCCTGTGGCGTATTCGATATGCTGAAAACAATAACAACAAGTCTCACAATGAAGACGTTACTGGTGTTCACTTTAGCAAATCGATGAACAACGGGAGGACAGTTCTACATTGGTACACCCTATAAGATCCTTTTCTTGAACCAAGCCCAACCATATTATGCCAATAGTTCATTAGCCCCTACTCAAATCAGCATTCACCCCCCCCCCCCCGAAAAAGTAGTGGTGAACTGTGAGCACAAGCAGCAATGAAATCCTAATCAAAAAGTAACAGTAAGTTCAGGCCAAAGAATACATTTCCTGAATCAGCACAAGAGACTTCATATAAATATACAGAAGCACCGAATTGGAAGGAGATATCCTTGATGGGGAAAGAAGGGACGACCACACACCAAGCACCTCCAGAGACCTTCCTGGCTGTGCAATGGGGACACTGATAGTGCATTGGAAAGAACCACCTCCAGCCTACCACAGGCACCATGGGGAAATAGCACAGAACCCCACTAAGAAGAGTGGTTGAAGATAGAAACCTGAAGCCTCAACAAGAATACTCACATATATAATCTCTCAGCAAAAGAATGTAAAGATTAAATGGTGAGGATGTTTAGTGAGCTCAAAGAAACAGTAGAATGTGAATTCAGTAAAAAATAGAATAATATGAGAGAAACAGTGGAATGGACAGCCAATGTAATACAGAAAGATATGCAAGCACAAATAAGAAAACTGCTAAAATAAATGTTATTAATATAAAGATCGGTATATGAAATTAAATACTCAATGTATGCCCTCAATAGTAGAGTGACAGCAGCTAAAGACAGAATCCGTGAGCTTGAAAAGGTGAGAAGCGGGTCTTCTTCCCCTCCTAGGTCAGTTAACCTGCCACTATTCGAACCTGGGACTTGGCTTTCGCTGCACAGGCGCCCCGTGCGTCCTCTAGGACACTGGGACAATAGCCGACCTGAGCCTCTTCATCTTCGTCCCCAACACGGTGCTGGTGTTCTTTCCCTCCCAGGTCAGTTAACCCACCACTATTCAAAGCCAGGACTTGGCTTTCGCCGTGCAGGCACCCCAGGTTTCCTTTAGGACCCTGGGATCAAAGCAGCTCTGAACCTCTTCCTCTTGTCCCCAACAAAGTGCCAGTCATATTCCCCTCCCAGCTAGTACCCCCCCAACACACACCAGGTTCCAGCGGGGGCGTGACATCTTCAAAAGTAGGCGTGACTTCAGCAGAAGTGGGCGTGGTATAATTTTAGGCAGGCCAATCTCACACAGCCGCAGATACTCATACCAAGAAATCTAGTGTGACATCTCAGTTCCCATACCTACACACCAACATGAAGAAACAACGCAAATACCCACCACCTGGGGACAAAGATGAAAAGAGGCCAGAAGACTCAGTAGGTGCTACTTCCCTAAAGGTCCTCTCAGAGAAAGAATTCAGATATGAAGTCATGAAGATGTTCAATGATCTCAATGAAACAGTCAGACAGATATCCAGTAATATGACAGAAACGATAAAGAAATTACGGGAATAAATGAGAGCAGAAATGTCACACATAAAAGATTTTGTAGATGAAATAAAAAACTCCATCTGTGCCCTCAACAGTAGAATTACCACAGCTGAGGACAGAATCAGTGAGCTGGAAGATCAGCTGCACCAAGTCAATAGATAACAACAAACAATGGCAAGAGACCTCAAAATAGCTCTAGAGAAGATCAAAATCCTAGGAGATGATTCCAAGAGGAACAACATTAGAATCATTGGAGTGCCAGGTCAGGGAAACAATCCCAGTGAAAAAAACCACAGTTAAACAAATCATTGCTGAAAAGTTCCCAGAGCTCGACAATACACCCATTCAGATTCAAGGATCCCCAAGGGTACCAGCTAAAAGAGACCCTAACAAAAACATTACAAGAAATATCAAAGTTAGAATGATGGATGCTGCGGATAGAGACACAATACAGCAAGCAGCAAGGTCAACAAAGGAAATCACATACAAAGGAGCAGCCCTTAGATTCAAAGCAAACCTATCAGAGGAAACCCTCCAAGCCCGAAAGCAATGGTGGAATATAGTGAAAAAACTCACTGAAATGAAGGCTTCACCAAGAATACTCTATCCGACTAAATTCTCACTCAAACTCCAAGGAAATGAACACTATTTTCTAGATAAACAGCAGCTCAGGAACTACATAGACTCAAAACCAAACCTAAAAGAAGGGCAAAAGGGGCTGCTATAAGACAAAACCAAACCTACAAGCACAACAGACCCTTACAGAAAGATGACACAAAACCCCGTAACAATAATCTCTCTCAACGTCAACGTTTAAATTCACCAATTAAGAGACACAGAGTGGCAAAATGGATTCAGAGACAGAACCCAACATTCTGCTGCCTACAATAAACTCATCTGATCAGTCAGAGCAAACACAGACTCAAGGTTAAAGGATGGAAAACAATCCTGCAAGCAAACAGCTCCCTCAAAAAACTAGGGTGGACATACTACTATTTAACAACATCAATTTCAGGTTGAAAAAGGTTAGAAGGGACAAAAACGGCTATTTTCTATTCATCAAGGGATACGTACACCAGGAAGAAATCACACTTTTAAATGTATACAACCTAATGAGAGAACAGCTAAATATTTAAAACAACTGCTAACAGATTTTAAGGAGGACATTGCTAGCAACACAATAGTAGTTGGAGACTTCAACATCGCCTTATCACCTCTGGATAGATCAATAAGAACAAAACTCAGAAAGGAAACATTGGCTTTGAATGAAGAAATAGAAGAGAAAGGACTTATAGACCTATACATGACTTTATACCCGCAAAAGAAAGAATACACATTCTTCTCCAGTGCGCATGGAACATTTTCCAAAAAATACCATGCGCTAGGCCACAAAACATACTTCAATAGAATCAGGAAGATATAAATAGCATCAACCATCTTTTCAGACCACGATTCACTCAGATTAGAAGTGAATCACACACAGATACAGAGAACCAAATCAAACACTTGGAAATTAAACACCTCAATGCTGA